AGACCAGAAAGCTATTTAAAAGATTACAATGTTCTAGTTTGGCAAAATATTTATACATTTTTAGCATTTCCACAAATCCTCAGAGAACGTGATGTGGCATTCCATATTTGTGCTTTGCCCTTAAGTTAGCTGAGTGTTTAAGGAAGACAATGGTCAGTGGGTAATACACTGTATGATTTCATAATCATGTACAACTTTCCATATTTAAGTTACCAAAGCCAAATTCAAATCTACTAGAGCCAATCTGAAGCACCATGGACCACAGTAACTGTCATAAGTTTAAGAAAATATTGTGGACTGTCCCCTGTCCCCTCCAGGTCCTTTCATCCTTTCCCCCCACTTTTCTACAAGATTCCTTACACTTCACCCAATATTCGGCTGTTGAGCCTCAGCATCTGTTGAGAGCTGCTGTCTGCTGTCTCTGACATGGACTCTGTTGTCTGTTTTCTGATCACTCCCTGTCAGGGTTGCTCTCCAGTCCACAGAAGAAGAGGTTGTTCTCAGTCCTGATTTGACTTGATGTGCTCAGGTGGGTTGGTGGGGGGGAGGGGCCTCCTCTTTTCTAAGAAGAAGAGAAGGAAAAATAGGGGGAAGAGGAAGGGGACAGCGTGGAACCAGGAGGAGAGAAGGGAGGGGACTACAATGGGAATATAAGTAAATTAATAAATTAATTTTTTAAAAGAACTAAAATATTTATATATGTGTCAACACTTCTGAAAACAATCCAGCGATATTCTTTAAGAATTTTTTAACCTAGTGTATGTGAAAAGATTTAATTAGACAAGTCTTTCTTCAAAACAAAAACTCATAATGAAAGTGAAAAACAATCAGTTTAAAAAAGAAACTTTCAGAAGCATTATGCCTTTGCTCAAACATGTTGTTTGTTTATTAGCGTGAGTTCTAGTGAAGATGAAATCCTGTCTGAAGCACATGCTTGGGACTTTTTTAATGTTCTCCGAGGGCATATTTTAACCACAGCAACAGATTATATCTCACATGCCAATTTGCATTCATTAAAATGCAATTCTTAAAATGGTAATAAGGGCGGAAGCTTGCTAGAAGAGCTCCCCATAGTTTCACATTCCTGAAAGCATAATCTCTGCTCTTCGGCTAAAAGTAAAACTAAAAGGAAAGAAAGGAAAAGAGAGATTTTCTCGGTTCATCCATGTGACTTCTGGGTGAAAACCAGTGAAGTGATGAGAACTGGACTTCCCAATTGCCTTAGCTCTTCCTCCCAGTCCAGGCTGAGCATATGTGTTATTTGATACAGTTGTTGTCATGGAGATGATTTCTGTTTGATAAATAAGTGAAATAAACAGTTACAGGAAAACTACATAGCATAAACTTTACATGTATGAATAACTTCCTTTCAAACTACTCTCTTCATCTTGTGGTTTGAGCTGTCTAATTTGATAGACTCATTGTTTTCAATGAGTAAAATGTAAGATGCTTCATATATATATATATATATATATATATATATATATATATATATGAAATACTGTGAATGCCTGAAGAAATAAGCCAGGTGATTCACATGGACAAGAAGAGAGGTGATAATGATGAGGGATGAAGTGGAGACAACCCCAGGTACAGAGATTGCAAGCTATGGCTCTAGATGTGGAAGTGGTGTTCAATGGACTTCTTATTATCAGACCTAATTCAGTAGAGTTCCATGGTATGCCTTAGGATGAAGCTGAATGAAATGTTATAAGTTGAGAATCTAAACCTGTGAAGTCAGTTAAGTGAAAGGACTTCAGAAATGACCGCATTACTTCATCCGTACCCTGTTTAATTGAGTCAGCCTGGGAGCAAAAGTGAAATTTCATTCATCCTCCTGTATTCAAACCAGTTCCTCTAGGATCAGTTGCATTAATCTTCTAATGACTTGCACATGCTGAGTCTCTCACTGGTGTTATTCTAAATCTACACACAATCAACCTATGCGATAGCTTACTCCCTGACTTGAGGATGACTACCACACTCGGAGTCAGGGCCACCTCACAAAGCTTGAAAGAATTAAGATGCTAACCCTTCCTTAGGTCTTTCCTTAATATGAGTTGCAAATTACATAAATTGTTACCCACAGCTGCTTTAGCCTACTAGTGTTTCCGTTTGAAATAATCTGACCTTCTGATACGATGGCAAAACTCAGCTATCAACTTCCACCCTGAAATGGAATTATTTAACCTACCCTTAAAATTGCCTGATAGCACATGCTGGAGAGGTTGTGGAGAAAAGGGAACCCTCCTCCATTGCTGGTGGGAATGTAAACTGGTTCAACCACTCTGGAAGTCAATCTGGGGCTTTCTCAGACAACTAGGATTAGTGCTACCTCAAGACCCAGCTATACCACTCCTAGGTATATACCCAAAATTTGCTCAAGTACACAACAAGGACATTTGTTCAACCATGTTCTTAGCAGCTTTATTTGTAATAGCCAGAACTTGGAAACAACCCAGATGTCCATCAACGGAGGAATGGATACAGAAATTGTGGTATTTTTACACAATGGAATACTACTCAGCAATCAAAAAGGAGGAAATCATGAAATTTGCAGGCAAGTGGTGGGATCTAGAAAAGATCATTCTGAGTGAAGTATCCCAGAAGGGGAAAGACAAACTTGGTATATACTCGCTTATATAGACCTACAAGACATGATAAACATAATGAAATCTACACACCTAAAGAAGATAATCAAGAAAGTGGACACAGGCGAAGGTGATTAATCCTCATTTAGAAAGACAAATGGGATGTGCATTGAACTTATGACAGGAGTCTACCACAAAAGGCATCTGAAAGACTCTACCTAGCAGTGTTTCAAAGCAGACACTAAGACTCATAACCAAACCCTCGGCAGAGTGCAGGGAAACATATGAAAGAAGGGAAGTTAGTATGGTATGGAAAGAATAGGAGCTCTACAAGGACCAAATATATCTGGGCACAGGGTCTTTTCTGAGACTGACACTCAACCAAGGACCATCTATGGATATAACCTAGAACTTCTGCTCGGATGTGGCCCGTGGTAGCTCAGTAACCAAGTATTTTTCCAAAGTAAGGGGAACACGGACTATTTCTAACAGGATCTCAAGGGCAGGCTGTTTGACACCCCCCCCCAGGGGAGGAGCAGTCTGTTAGGCCACAGAGGAGGACTTTGCAGCCAGCCCTGAAGATACCTGATAAAACAGGGTCAGATGAAAGGGGAGGAGGTCCTCCCCTATCAGGGGACTTGGAAAGGGGCAGGGAGGAGACCAGGGAGGGAGTGTGGGGTTGGGGAGGGAATGAGGGAGCGGGATACAGCTGGGACACAGAGTTAACAAAATGTAACTAAAAATAAAAATAAAAATAAAATTTAATAAAAAAATAAAATACAAAAAAAAAAATTGCCTGATACCCCTCTGTAACTACGGCAGCCTGCACAATGGATTTCTATCTCACCCTCAGCATATTCTCTATTTTATTCTCCTCCCAAGGCCTGTTCATATGTCTGTTTCCTGAAAAAGACATTTATAAATTTGGCCAAGGACATCAAGTTGTTATATTTCCAAAGTCAGCACAAAGCCAACATGATGTATGTGAATGAATAATTGAATGGATGAATGAATGGCACAGGGCCTCCAGGGTGAAGTTCTTTGGTACCCTTTGTTGAATATTGCTATAAAAATTAGTGCTAATAGTCATGACTGATAAGGTAAATACAGTTGTCACTTAAAGCTGTGTATGAAGCAAGATACACACTGAGGTGTAGAAATCACAGCAATTTTGAGTTAGGACAGTGCTCAACCGGGAAGATGGACCTACTTTTTTTTTTTTTTTAATTCAAAAGCAGAAATTAAGGCTGAGCTCTGTTTAAACACTTCTCCATTACTCCAGAGTTGCAGTGGGCTCATATTTTCCTTTGGCTTTTGTGAGCTTCACTTTTACATAAATAAGATTCAGAATCAAAGTAGCTGACAGGCCCAGAGCTTTAGAGTAGGGGATACATGACGTCCCTGTACTCCAGTTAAATCTGTATCTTAAGATTCTAAGTTTTTATTCTAAAACCTAGTTAGATTCTAATTTCAACTTCAAAGTTTCTTACTCATACACCTAAACAAATTTGGGGTAGTTTCTCTAGTACCATACTTTTTTTAAAAAGTTGTTTAAAGTATTTTTAAAGGCAAAAAGACATTTCCATGAGTGAACACACTGTACAGTACTGTCCTTTTTGTAGTTTCTAAGGAAATTTGAATACATGTAAGTGCTGAATTCAGAGCCAGATTTCTTAATGTCCATAGTTTAATATCTCAGAATTTTACAATCTTTACCAACTTCCAAAGAGAAATTCTGTAAAGTCTGACACATTCAAAAATTAGTCTGAGTCCTGGGAAGGAAAACAATAAAAAGAGAAAAGCCTCCTGAAGTAGGCCTGGCACAGCTTTGGAGCTTCTCTTTGTCCTAAGATAAATTACTATTGCCTTCAGGTAAAGCAATGAACTCATGATGTTCTGTTTAGGTTCTGTGAAGTCCAGTGACTCAGTAACAGCTCCAAAATAAGGTCATGACATTCCAATATTTGGGGAAAAGTTACTTCCTATTTAGTGAGAGTCCAACTCTGTTTCAGAATATTACCTACAACCAAGAGATTTACTAAAACCAAAAGAGAGAATTGGATGTCCAGAGAGATTAGAGAGATAGCTCAGTGGTTAAGAACACTGAAAGCTCTTGCAGAAGACTCAGGCTTTGTTCCCAGCATCGATAGTGGCTCACAACTGCCTATATGATCCATATATCCATAGGATCTGATGGCCTCCTACTACCTCTGCAGGCACTACACATATACGTGCACTATAGACATGAAGGCATATGCATTTTCATAAACGCTTTGAGAGAGAACCAGGAGCTGAAAAATCTTTCAATCTGTAATATTTTTTATAAGTTACTCTCTCTTAAAAGCTGCCCTGACCTTGTTCATAAATGATCATAAAATCAGTATGTAGCAAAGTAGAGAAACAACAAACCTCTCAAAATGCCCTTTACAACAATAGGCAGCGATGTCAATCCTCTGAGCCAGTTAATATCATCCCAGCTGAGAGATGGGTCTATGGCTTGTGCCACATATTCAGCAAGTCCACTGTTGTCTCCAAAATTCCCCTTAGGAGAAAATGCCAAATCACTGGTTTCAAAGTTTTTCATCCTAGAATAGATACATAGAATGGGAATTAGAGACAGCTTTAAAAAGTGCCCCTTTCCGATAAATTATTCAGTCACATAGAGGTTGGCTTCTACAGATCTTCTAGAGTTTGATGTAGGGGTGTACTCTAACCATGGCCATCCAGTAATTTCAACTGGCCACCTAAAGCTTGCTTTACATGTGTGTGTTTATTCAGACAAATCAGTCTTGAGGATCAATATGTGGCCATGTTCAAACATTTCCTGTTTAAGCCAGTTTACAGCTACAGACAATAGACCGGATGCTGTTTTCTGCCAGCTATGCAAATTTAGCATAATAGAAAACATTTGCATGGTGCTTTATGGTTTACAAAGGCCTTTATTATACTCATATTTGCACATTTCTTTCCTTAAAAAAATCTTTCAGACGGTAACATTGAATCACTACAATTCCAGTTTTATATAGAAAATAGTAACTCAAGTACAGAAAGAGATGACTAAAACTAAAAGTAGCTTGGGACATTATTTTGGATCTGGCCTGGGTCATTTGACTGCTACCTATATATTCTTTGCCTAGATGTGTTGTGCTGTGGGCCTGGATGGGGACCAGGAAGCATCTTCCCGTACAGAAGTCTTGCTTTCCCCTCACTGTCAGCTATTCTCTCTGGTTGCCTGGTTACTGGGGCTCAAACTTATCGTCCAGAGAACCTGGACAAGGGCCTGGCTTTCACATGATCAACAACCACCATTCTTTCTTTCCTGTATTTTTTAATTAGTGCTGGGCTTTCATCACCACTCAGCAGACGGGAAGTATCATCTCCTGCACCTCTGGGTAGACTCTCTCTGGGATGTCCTGTGCACATGCTCCCCGAGCTTGCCCACAGCATTAGGAGCTTCTGTTGCTCCAGTTTGCCTGTCTTCACAAAACTTCCCCTGTTGCCTCCTTCCTCTCCTCCAGGCAATTCCCTACATGCTAACAAGCTACACTTTATACTTGGCTGGTGGCTCAGGGAGCCACAGCTGGGACATACCACAGCTGAGCTGTCAGCTTCTAGACTAACTTCTTGATCTAGTTTGACCAAGTAATTCTCTCACTCATGACCAAGACTCTACTGCTGGATCTCCCCAGGCCTGATATACTTTCCCTTGCTCTAGCATGCCATTTTTGGAAATATTTGGATAGTGGCCTAAGCTAAAGATAAAGATCATTCTGCTTGCAGTTGTGACCATACCACTGGATGACTGGAAAGGTGGATATGCATGGCACCTTCCATGTGGCTTAGCAATCTACAATCCCCAAAGTTACTTGCAAACTAATCACATGAAACACTTCTCCTGAAGAGCTGGAACAGAGCTTGCTGTACTGCACCCCCGACCTGACCTGCTAGCCTTTCTTCTTATGGGAGACAACACAGCTGTTAGATTAGTCCAAGTTCGTCTTCCCCTCCCCCAGCTCATAGGAAAGATCCTGGAGCCTTGACTGAAACTGTGTGTTTGTAGATGACTTTTCTAGGAATTGTATTTTCAAATTATTTTTAGACCTTCTCTTCATACAAAACTGGTTGATACTTGGCCTACAGTTTAGAACATTTTAGCTAAAATTGCTGATGGAGTAGTTTGGATGCACAGACCATTTCGTGGATATGAACTTTAAGTTCCAAACAACCCTAGTCGAGCTGTTGTATCAGTGGCAGTCTTCTCAGTAGGACTGAACATACCCTTGCGGACTCATGAGCATGAAGACATAAAACACCCCAAATACTTGACGCTTCTCTGGCTATATTGGCTTTCTACGAAATGTCTGAGCTTTTCCATTTGTCAGAACACTTAGGGTTATACAGTATTTAAGAGTTCTAGGTCTTCTGTGGTCTCCCTAATGTGAACTAAATTAAGCTTTCTATTCAATAAATATATCCTTGGGAGACAAATGTAGTCCATTACTTCAATGAGACTAAACTTCAAACATAAATAATATTGTTAAGAAATAAAAGTGCAGTCTCTCTATCCCATTGTCAGACCAGGAGAGAAGAAGGAAAGCATCGGCATGTGTCCCTGCCCCCACTCCAAGCAGGCTTCAGTGCTTCGGCAGGGGCAGGGGGGAAAGGGTGAAATGGATAGGAAAAAACAGAAACATGGATAAAATTATATAAATAACCCTTGTTATTCTTGGACCGTGCAATGCAGATCAACACTTGAATGAATGTTGCCTTACAGAAATCTCAGGGCACAATGAAGCCTTGTTGTTACTCTAAACTTTGTTCAAAGCCAGAAGCCAAGAAAAAGTTTTCAGATATCTTGACAGAGAACCACGATGGAGTGTTTTACCGATGGCTCTGAAAGAAACTGCCATGAATGCTATTTTTATTCAGATTGTGACATATATATGTGCATTTATATATATGATATAATATATGATCCTTAAAGTACCTTTTGATTTTTATTTTGTAAGGAATGAAAAAAACAACACCAAAATATTAACATAACTATTTAGAACTTAATTTTCAGAGTCCTGAGCTGATAAATGCCACAGAGACCAAATTTCTTCCTTATAAGGGAATTGCTATGCCTGGGATGGCTCTTAATGTAGTTTTAAATCCAACAGAGAAATTGATTTTGCTTTTATAATTACTAATGTTAAATATCTTTTAAAAATCAATAGTATGACTAATATGAACATCGATGTTAACATAAAATTTTTAAATATTGATAATATCATACTAAGATTAAAGCCACGTCTTTATCCTGAAAACTCCTTAAATAAAGTAAAACAGAATAAAAATCCAGCAAAGTTTATAATTCCATCAGAGTATGGAGAAGAGATGGTCACGGTCACAGGTTACAGGAGATGGGGACAGGAAGTCAGCCTTTCTTATGTGGTTAGAAAAGCTCAATGTTCAGAACACACCCTGGTCACTTCCTCTTCAGTGTGCCCAGGTGGTCTAAAGACAGACCGGAGCCATAAACATGGTTCCAATCCTGCTCAACTTTTTCCTAGTTCTAGTGGGAAAATTCCATCTGTATTACTAAATTTTTATATGCTGATTAAACAGTTACATGCCAAGCACCTACTATTATCTGTCACTGTTTTATATATTTAGTAAACACCAGTAAGCAAGAGAGTAAAAGATCTCCACCCATCACAGAAACAATCAACATGTAAATTGTTAAGTGTATTGAAAAGTAAATACAATGCAAAGTAAAGGCATACAATGGGGCAGAATAGGAGGCAAACCAATTGGTAGAGGCTCAAATTCACATCTGAAGTATGACAACAAGGGCAACTTTCATTATAAAGCTATTATAAAAATGAACTCAATAGGATTAATTTTATTTCATCATTGCTGTTATAGCAAATGACCACAGTTGCACAGGTTCATAATATCACAGATTTGTGGGCTGGAGATATGGCTTAGCTGTGAAGAGCACTGGCTCCTCTTTCAAGACCCATGTTTCATTCCCAGTACCCACATGCCAGCTCACAAGCACCTATAACTCTGGTTTCAAGGTACTCAGTGCCCTCTTCTGGCCTCAGTGGGACACCACGGTGCACAGACATACATGCAAGCAAGACACCCATACACATAAAAATAATTTTAATGTCACAAATGTATTATATTTACAAAGGTTGGAAAGACCAAAATGGTTCTCAGTCTCAATTCAAGGTGCTCAGGGGTGTCCTGTCTTTGCCTGCCTAGAGAATACAGTATCACATCTCTTCTCTCAATGGAAAACCCCACTTCCCTGGCTCTGAGCTACATGGTTTCAACTCTCCTTATATCATCTCAACTCTTCCTCTGGCCAACACTTTTATTCCAAATAAAAACTCTCCATTGCATATAATGTCTGTCGTGATAAAACAGGATCGTCTCCCATCTCAAGATTCTTAACTCAATCTCTTCCGCCAAGCTCTTTTTCGTGTAAGGTGTCAGGTTCCAGGGTTCTTTTGTTTGTTAGGAACATATACCTTTGGCCTCAGCATGTGCTCCTAGCAATGATTTGCTCTTGTCACTTAAAAAAAAAAAACAAAACTGTCTGGCACTGTGACAGGAGGTGAGTAGATCACTCTTAACCCAGGTAAATGAATCATGCCATGGAGCATGAGCAAGGCATGAGGCCCCTGCCGCACAGGCTCGAGAATCTGCGTGGTGAACTGGCTTTATTCCTGCTTCTTCCAGAGCGGAGGATTTCCCTTCTGCCCCTCACGTTCGTGCCTTCTGTAAAGTGCACACATGCTTTTGCTTTGCATGTAGACCAAGTGGCCATTACCAACCCTCTGAACTCTCTCTGCTCCCAGGTGCCAAGAGTCAGGGCCCTCCCCTCCACCCGGGCAGAGGAAGTAGCAAAGGCTGGAGGGAGCCAGGCTTAGCAACTCATTCTCCCCTGGATTTCCTGTCTCCTTCCCTTGCCAAACCTCACTTCTGAAAAGCAGGCTTCACCTTCTATGAGTCAGGTCAGTGCAAAAAGAAAATGATTTCATATCGAGCTGTTCACAGATGAAGTTTAGGGGGCGGAGGTGAATGAAGGCTTGAATTCCAGTTTGTGTGTTCTGTTTTCTAATGGAGTGTGGGCCACTGAGGTGCTGCTGAGCAGAAGCCACTGGCTGTCTGATCTGGTTGGGACGAGCCCCACCAGCGTGGCCAGTGTGTGGCTGGGAAGGAGTGTTTCCGTGCTCCCCATAACCTGGATGTGCTGATTTGATCATCTTCAGAACAGAGCTGTAACAAGCTGGAAGCCCGGGGCCATTCCTGTGAACACTCACAGCTGAAAGGGGTCTTTGTTCCATGGCTCGCCACATCAACCGGGCAGAAGTCCAGGGGCAAAGAAAAGGGGGGGAGGGGTCAAGCCTGTGGTTCATCATGCAGTCACCCTGCGTAGAGAAGCAAGGGTCCCAGCCAGGATACACAACAGTGTCGTCCTGCCCACAGGACTAGATACCTACGAGTCTGCTACCCAGAGCAGGAAGTATAACGCAAATTCCATGGTTCTATTACCATCTCTGATTTTAAGAACGATGTCATTAGGAAAAGAGGAAAAGGGACATTTCTTTACAAACGACCAAAGGGAAATATAGAGAGTTTCATGTAGGAAAACTGTGACAGCGTGAAACTAATTATTTTAGAAAGTATACACACACACACACACACACAGAGAGAGAGAGAGAGAGAGAGAGAGAGAGAGAGAAGAGAAACTGCCAAAATAAAGAAAAGGTGAGTGCAAATTGCATATTGAGAAGTTAGAAATAGTTTGCTCTTTACATAGTAGGGTAGTATCGAACCTGTGGTCCAGCTTTACTACCAACTCTTTCATTTGCTTAGGAGAGGTGCCACAAACCTGTCTGGAAGTGACAAGCATTCCCACTAATTACCAGTTGACATACAGCACAGCAGCAAAATCTTATGTGTGAGACTTGAAAGTCTCTCGAGCATATTCGTGGCTATGGCAAAGGACAATCTTGTGGTCCCTACACAAAGCTGCGTACTTTGTCCACAGTGCATTTAAAGGCCCCTTTCCAGTGATCTGTTTTCTTTACGGGGAACTGACTTGAGCTTTACATCTGTTCATTTTTAATTCTTTCAGAAGGGAAACAGAGGATGCTTTCATGTGACTTCCTTTATTTTTTTATCTTTCTTCTGTCTTTCAAGCTCTAGTTATTCCAAACACAAACAAAATGTAGACAGAGTGAGCAGTGGCTCCTGTGGAAAGTTATACAGTCCCTGGAAGACACCCATAGTCACCCAACACAAAACCTTTGCTAGGGCAAAGGTTTGATGTCTTCTGTGTACAGCCCCCAGGAAAATCACCCATCTATCACAACTGGTATGAAAAATACAGAAGAGGCTGTTTGGGCATAAAACATGGAAAGAGAAAACAATGGAGAAAAATGCCTATGCTGAAGAAACCTGAAGTCCTTCATCACCAAGCTCCACTGTGGTCCTGGCTTTGATTCAAGTTCCTGAAATGCTACAAGGGAAAGAACATTTCAGAGTTAATAAAAGGCTGAATGGCTCGATGAAATCATTATAGTTCAATTTTAGATTTTTTGATGTATGGTTTTTCCCAACATGGGTGAGTAAGTGAATTAATGAATCTTCATCCATGGATGATCCACATGAAAGAGAAACAGAATGAAGTAGAAGATGAAGGATCAAAAGCATGGCATCTTTTACCTCCATATTTTTGCCCTTTTTTCCATCTTCCTAGCCCTAGCTGCTCCTACATCAACAAAAATTAAAACACAAATGTGAGTCTTTGATTTCTACAAAGAAACGGGGTACCAGGAACACACACACACACACACACACACACACACACACACAAAAGAAACAACAACTGTGACCTATACAAAGCTATGTGTATGCTATTTCATACTTCTCCAAACCTTAATGCACTCTGGTAACAAAGTATTCTACATTTTACAATAATATACTAATTCTTCCTGTTGTAATAGCTCAAATGTGTGATATCCCCAAGCAGCATCTGGCTAGAGATTATGCAGAAATGTGGCAGTGGCTTTCTCTAAAACACAGAGCCTGTCATTTCCAGTGAGATCCTTTTAACCATAAGATTAATGTCTCTACAGTCAATGCCTCTATGGAGATATATTTCTCTATGGTATCCACTTGTAAACTAAAATAAAAAGTAAAAAGCAGCTTCTGGGGGTGGCCCATGAAAGGGAATGAGGAACCCCACTTTAAGTCTTGTCATAGTTACCTGAGTTGTGGCGGCAGCTTGAACCTGTTCCGCACATCATCAAAGCGGTTGCCCAGGTAAGGGGTGTCCACAGTCACAAATATGGCCTTGTATCCCATCTGCTCAGCTCGCTTCACCAGCTGTCTGCTGACCTCACGGTCTTTGTAGATGTACAGCTGCATCCAGCGCAGAGCCTCAGGCCCAGCCTCTGCCACTTCTTCTATTGAGGAAGTAGCCCAGGAACTGAGCATCATACCGGTTCCCATGGTCTGACAGGCTGTGACGGAAAGGAGAAAGTCAAGGTAGACATCACACAACTCCTCTCTTGGACTGGTGTTCCATTCAAAGGGGAAAGGCGTCTGCAAATGCAACCTGTCAGCATGAACTCAAATTTTTAAAAATAAATATATAAAACATGCATTGATTTTAACTCTATGTTTATTACATATTTTGGAGATGAATAAGTAAATAACGAAGGATTGTTAAAGCTGAAGATGAAATTACTGAGAGCAACCATCTTAGGGTACTAGTTATAGTGTATGTAATTAAGACATAAAATGAAATACATACAGCCATTCAGGATAACACGGTTGTGAAGGTTAATTTTATGTGTCAGCTTTTCTAGACCATGGTGCCCAGATATTCGGTCAAATGAATCTGGATGTTATCCTCATGGTATTTTTAGTTGAAATTAACATTAAAAGTAATAGCAGAATTGAGCAGAGCAGATAGCCTGCTGTTGTCCAGCCTCAATTAATCTGTCAAGGACTTAAAATGTGACTAATCTCTCCCAGGAAAGAAAAGGAAATTCTATAAGCTGACTGCTGTTGAACATGACTTTCATACCACCTTCCTCAAGTCACCAGCCTTCTGCCTACCCTGCAGATTTGGGGTTTAAGTGTCTCCATAATTATGTAATCCAAGTTGCAAAAATAGGTCTCTATCATAAATAGCAGTAGATAGATAGATAGATAGATAGATAGATAGATAGATAGATAGATAGATAATACTGTTATCTGTATTGGGAGATAGATCCCATCATCTCTCTGGAGAACTCTAGCTGTTATTATAATTATAAAACATTATAAAATATTATAAAATTATAAAATATTTATAGACATATACATACATTCAATATATATGTATGTATATATATATATATTATATATACAGGTATAGATAGATAAGTACAGATAGATTAAAGAGAAAAGTCCAAAAACAACATGTATGCCATGATGTCATATTTGTACAGATTATAACTTATCTAAATAAACTTAACATTCATAAGTTATAAACCATGATGAGTTCAAGTTTTCCTTCCTTTTTACATTTTTAAATATCTTTTTAAAAGTGTTTACTAAGACACATTCTACTTTGTGCCCCCTTTTTAAAAACATGTGCACTAGATATCAAAAGCAGATTCATCCTTTTGAGCAAAGTAGCGCCATTAGTGAGAAAATTGCCTTGGAAGACAGAAAAACATTGGTGACAGTATGAGTTACTGTCCTTCTTAATAGTATGAGTTATTTAGTAGAAGAAAGGCTGATTTGATGTTTGCATGCTATACAGAAAATTCCAAGAAATAAAGCTTAAGTATCTAACGCTGTCTGTGGAATCCCTTGACATTCCTCTCATCTGAATGGTCACCTTGTGTCAAAAGGGAATGAGTGTGTTTGTCCAAGTTACACTCCCAGAATGATAATGGGAATCAAGTGAGATGGTGCTTATGAAGTTTCTCCAACAGGTTCAAAACCTTCCATGCTCAAACTTTAGCCAACAACCAAGTCTCCTGATGAACTTACAGAAGTTGGCCTCATGGTCCTACCTACAGTTTCTTACTTGGGGGCCCTGTCAGTCTCCAAAGGTTTGACTCTTCCTGACTATGCTGCTGCCACCTATGGTGGACCTCACTTAGACACCAAAAAGTAGCATCAGCAGCTGATAGTAGTGTAAGTTCAAGTGCTTTTAAAATGGATTTGTTTTTTGGAACATGCACATTACTTTTCCAATATCTCTGATGCTATCTACATCTCAAAGAAAATATGTGAGATGAAGAATATCATGCCTTTGAGATAGTGTTCATCCCAGGATCTCATTTGAGAATTTATATAATAGGTTCTCATGGCTTAAAAATCACTGCCCCTAAGAAATGCATTTTAGTAAGTAATAATACATCTGGTTCTTGTCTGATTTTCATTAAGTTTAACAATGTGGAAACAACACCAAAGGGCTCTAAGTGCTTGAGTCAGAACGTTCTAGCCATCACTTTACCACAAAGAAGTCATGTCCTGAAGATGTGATCTAACTAAGATCATGCTGAGTTGGACAGCAAAGATAACAACAGTTCAATGTATCCATTTGTCTAGGACTGGTGTATATGAGAGTCTCTGGTAACCAAGCCCAGATAAAAGTATTTCAGCACAGAGGGGACATTCAAGTAACTAAGAACTTTCATGAAGTTAGCATGTAACTCAATTACAGCTCCACCAGCTGCAATATGGAAATCTTCAAGGACTTTCCTTAGCATATTAAACCATCTATAGACATTCCATAGAGCTGTGACAATGTTAAAAGGAATTCGGCAATCATTCCCACACCAAACCTTCTGATTTGCTCAGTGTGTCCACATTCTCAAGCACCTTACACAATCACTCTACTACAGATGTCCTTAGAGACTTCGGTGGCCAAGGCCTGTTCTGGAGACACCTGTCCTCCTCTAATGTCTTGTAACTTAGTTTTCCCTCCAGTACTGGGGATCAAATGCAGGGCATGCTAGTCCAGAATGTTGTCACTGAGCAATGGCCCCAACCACCATGTTCATTTTTCAACAACTAAAATCATAAGGCTGAAATTCGAAGGTGAAGACCATAAATTCCAAGTTGCCATTGTCTCTGTTAACAGTTGCTAGTGATTTTCTAAGAGCCTTCTGGGAGCAGAAGGACTATCAGAATCTGAGTGTGATGCATTGAGGCAAAGCTAGTACAACCAGGAAAAAGCATGGGAGAAATCTTAGGAGGTTCCATGCTTTCTAAACAAACACTGCTGATCACTCTGATTCCTAGCCACTTATGATCACTTGCTGTGCCCAAAGAAAATCATTGATGGATTATATAAGTCACTTTTCAACATATTTTTTTTTCCTTAAAGTAAAGGAATTTGAAATTTTACAAAGCTCATTTAGAGCTAGAACTGAAATGTGTCTATTCAAGTAACACCAGATCTGAGAATGGCTGATCCGTGCATGCCAGCTTGATATTCATAATCCAAATATTGAAATGTAAACAAATGTGATTGCACATGTGTGTTTTTCAGCACTCAGAAAAGCTGAGTTTAGTTTCCTTCAAATGAACCAGGGTATTTCATCATGCCGTCAGGTCCTCCCCTCACTGGTGGTTCCTTGGAGCATCCACACCTGTTACAGTGCAAGAGATCAGCATCTAAGCATCACTTTTAATGGGTTAAGACCTGTTACTGTGCTAGGTACTAAGAATTTTATATATCACCTTCACCTAAGTAATAAAGGGAAAACCTTCTAGTTCGCAGGGAGGTTTTGGAGATAAGGATAACATTTTTTTTTTTAATTTTGCTTGTTTGTCCCAAAGGCTCTTGTCAGAAAAAGCCTCTTTTGTTTTGCACACACAGAGATGCCCATCCTTTTATTCCCAACTGGTTTTGAATCTCCTTGTGAAGTCCAAAACTGTGACTTCCCACTCTTAAAGGTTAGGACTGTTAGACTACATTCTAAAAAGGACAGGCTTCAGCGCTCCTCTCTATTCCCAGATTGTGGCTGTACATCACTGGGCTGCTAGGTGACTTTGAATTTTCACAAAGTCTGCCAAACAGAGCTCCTACCCAAGGCACTGTTGCTATGAAAGCACAGCCTTTCCAGGCGCTCTTTCCAGGGGCGAAGGTTTCTAATGCTGTCCCAATGTTGAATATTCATGGTAGTCAACACACCCTAAAGACAACAGAGGCAGAGCCATTGAGGGGATTTACATATAGAATGCTTGCCAGGCAAGCCTCATGACCTGAGTCCAATCCTCAGAACTCACATAAAAGTGGGAAGACAAAACCAACTACAAAAAGTTACCCTCTGACCTTACACACACGCACACACACACACACACACACACACACACACACACACACACCATGGCATGGGTAAACACACAATAATAGCAATAATAATAATAAATTTAAAACAACATATCCAGGAGAACACACCTCCAAGATCCCATGTGACATCTTGACAATGTTTTCTTATTGTTTCTGCCTCATTTATCATCCTGAAGGTAAACTTCAATAACAGAACCCTGAACTACTGGCATAAAGTTGTTTCCTTGGTCTCCTTGCGCAGTCCAGCCTCACCTGGAACTTGGCGTGTATTTTACACTGGCCTTGAACAAGAGCCCCCTTATTGCTACCACCTAAGTGCTGGCATTTCAGATGTATGGCCCATGCCCAGCTAAACTTTTATTTTAAAGATTTACTTATTATTTTTGTTTTATGTCTATGAGTGTTTTGCACATTGTAAAAGATATTCAATTATGCTAGTTAACATATGTAGCTAATTTTGTGATGAAAGCATCAAAATTCTATTCTTCAGGGCTGGGTGTAGAGCTCAGTAGAGTACAAGACTCTGAGTGCAACCCAAAGCACTAAAAAAGTTTTAAAGTCCTATTCTTTCAGCATATTCTGAAATATATGATACACCATTACTCAGTGTGGTTTTGTGCAGCACATAGCTTCTTATCAGCTATTTCTCTAATTTAAACAAGGCTTTGATTGACACCTACTGTTCCCCATTCTCATCCCTGAACCCTAGCTTCTCGTTTCTCTTACATCACCCTAGACTTTGATTGACATCTTCCTTTTTCCATCCTCTTCCCCCAACCACAGGCTCAGTCCCTCCACTCTCAAACTCCATAATGTTCCATTATGCATCAACACCATATTTCCTTTAATTGTTTATCCATTAACAGATTTTTTATTTTTGTTTTTATTAATTACACTTTATTCACTTTGTATCCCTCCTTAAGCCTCTACCTCCCGATTCCCACCTTCCCACCCCCTTCTTCACGCATGCCCCTCCCCAAGTCCACTGATAGGGGAGGTCCTCCTCTCCTTCCTTCTGAACTTAGTCTATCAGATCTCATCAGGAATGGCTGCACTGTCATCTTCTGTGGCCTGGTAAGGCTGCTCCCCCCCTCAGGGGGAGGTGATCAAAGAGCAGGCCAAGCAGTTCATGTCAGAGGCAGTCCCTCTTCCCATTACTAT